GATTAAAAAAGGAGAGAAAACTTTTGTTCATCTTCACTAAACCAGATGTGGGTCGATTTGCTGAAAACTGTGTTGAAGTTGAAATGGTGATAATTCAATATATTTTGATACAAAAAGAAACGAAATGTAGTCATCCACAAAATTATTCAAGCAAGAGTAAATATTAAAAAGCAACTTAAGTACAGAGAACTTTGATCAGATTTAATTTGTGGACATGATGTAATTATACAAACAAAATATGAAATTATGCGCAGGTGCAAGAATTAAAAACAAAAACTTGAAGAAATAAATCCCATAATCGCAAGAATAATACATTTGTGCAGAATAAACTTATTTTCTAATATCATTTTCTCCAATAAAAACATTTTTTAAGTAATGTGTAAATGATAGAATGATGCCGCGTGCTTCATCAGAAGCGCCACAGGATGATTTACGTCTTAACTAATTTCACAAGATTTCTCCATGAAGTCATTGTATTTCAAATGATCCAAAATGTTTATCGAAAAGCTTCCAAAGTGATAACATCACCTTGGTTTTATGAAAACGACTAGGCACATCATTCTTACATCCCATGTCTATTCTTAGTCCATGAAAACTTCTGAATTTGAGTTTTAAAAATATATTTTGAAGGATTTTCTAAATGTGTCTCTAATTTGGTATTTAAGGAAACAAAATAATGTTGATGATTCCACCTGAACTAATATGGTAACAAATTAATCTGTTTAAATGTCAGTGGTTTGTATTTGGATAAAAAACATGTTATCTATAATTATTTGATCATAATTTTTCTTGTCTTCACAGAAAATGATTTTCATCTACATGATGATGACATTTCTGGCTCCAGTGATCTTAGCAACAGGTACATTTAACTCAATTAATCAAGTTATTATTACTATTATTATTATTATTATTATTATTATTATTATTATTATTATTATTATTATTATTATTCAAACTAGATCATTTAAAACTGAACCAAGATATTTTAAAAATTTACTTTGAGGGATCTTATTTTCTTATCCTACTGATATTATTTGTTGTTAAATATTATTTGGCAATAGTTGTATTTATATATTAAATATTTAATAATGTCAGTTGATTGCCCTAGCAATAGATCTTTTTGCATTTAAAAAACATCAGTGACAATAAAGACATTTCAATGTTTTTCTTGTAACTTTGTGATTTGCTTGTTTTTAATCTTTTTTAGGGATATTGGCATGTGATATAACGCAGTGTGATGACGAATGTCAGTGTTATGGAACAACTGGAGAACCTCTGATATTTTACCTTCCAATTCATGAACAGATTAAGTTGAAAAAAAATAAAACTACACTTTTTAAGTGTGTAAACGCATGTAAGGAAGAAAATTCAAACTACATTAAGTCCTGCAAATTCGTCATAAATGGAACCCTGAAGTGTGAGCACACCACAGAGAACGACTCTGGAGTTTATCAGCTGGAGCTATATGATCAGAAGGGTAAAAATATCAAGCAAGTCAACATCAATCTTCAGATTATAGGTAGGAACATTATTATTAGTTTTGTGCTGTGCATAACTTATTTTATCTTCAAAGGTATATAAATGCATTTCATTAGAATGATTGTGTTTTACAGTTTAACCCATGGAATATTAAATAATGCAGGAAAATAATTACTTTTCTTAAATGATGCACAGAAAAACAAAGTTAACAATCTTAACTGTGTTTGTCTTTCAGCTCCAGTTTCACAACCTGCCATGTTTCAGAAATGTTGGTCACCAGAGCAGAGGACAGTCAGCTGCTCAGCAGAGGGAGAACACACACACTTCTCTTTTTCTCTGGATAATAATCCGTTACTACACACTAAACCTACCAGTGAAAATAATGGAAGTGTCACCATCAGTTTAAATGGTCAACTGCAAGGAAACCTGGAGTGTAAAGTTCAGAACAAGGTCAGCAGTAAACAGATCATCGTCCATCTTTCAAGTTGTGAAGGTAATGTGTTTTATTCTTATATTTAGTTTGATTACTTTCCATTTTGTTTCCATTTTATTTAAGGGGGCAGTGTATGTTTGAGAAATCCTTTAATCTCCATGGGAACCATTCAGCTTCACAATGCTTTCGAAGTGCAGCTCCTTTGCAGAGTTGCAGTTTCCAAGAGTCAGAGCTTCCTCCTCCACTCAGCTCCTTCAGACTAGCCAGCAGCAATTAGCAAAAACCTGGATAAACTGCGCTTTTTCAGAGCTCATTATAGGAGCTTCTTCTCAGTGCAGTGCTGGTAAAAATGTTGTGAAAGGGTTAATAGAGGAGCCATGTTGTGATGACTTCCTGAACAGGCCGAGCTTTAGAAAGAGTATAAGATTCTTAAAGAGACAGAGGCCCAATTACAAGGAGTTAAATTACAAAGTTTAACTCCTTTGTAATATACTTTGAAGTTATATTTGATATACACAGCACATTTTACAACTAAGGAACTTTTAAAATACATAATATTTTCCCTTTAATTATTTCCACAAATTGTGCAATTTTTCCAAATAAAATGCTCTTCATAATTTATTCTACAATTTCCATAAAAAAGTCTTCATGGTAGATAAATATTTCTCATGACTTGATGTCTGTTTTTATCTAGAAACACGTTTTCCAGCTGTGATCGTCTTAGCAAGTGCAACCGTTCTGCTTCTTCTTTTGGTTTTGTTTCTTGGTATCAAACTGTTTAAAGTGAAAATAAGAAGAAGCCCCACAACTACCACAGAAGGTGAGAAAATAACATCACTGAAATCTTTTTTATCCTGAACAGCATTAATAGTAATGGACATGGACTGACATGGTTTTATTGAATAACCTTAATATTTTAAATCAATATTAAACTTGGCCCTCATTCCTTATTTTGCTTCTTTTAGGTGATGCTGAGGAGAAAATAGTTTACTCAGATGTCAGAGTTATTCGGGATGCCAGAAAGAGGGATGGTTAGGATGCTGCTGACCAGAGCGGAGAAGGAATGGATAAATGTCACCTGTGAACATGAAGCCTTTCATTTCAAGCTCTAACATGGAAACTGTTCATTAACAGATCTACAAAGAAATGAAATACCTTTCAAAAACAATTAAAAGTCCATTGTTTCAAAAAAGTTACATACTGCAGCTTTAACTAGACAATATTCTGGGTTGTTGTACTTTTGTGTGTTGACAAATCTGTTAATGTTTCCCAAAATGCACTGCGCAGTATGTATAGGTTGTGAAAACTTCCCATTTATATTTTAACACAAATCTTCACTTCCTCACTAGCTATATGCAGTGACTTTCTTAAAGTATTGCTGACTCTGTAAATCCACTTACATGATTTAACAAGATAAACGACTCTGCTTTCATTCTTTGTACAAAAGGGTTTTTAATAATACACTGTAGTTCATCTTTTTAAATCGTGGAAGTCAGAGGTTCCCAAACTGTGGGGCGCGCCCCCTACGGGGGGCGCCGTGCCATTGCAGGGGGGGCGCAGGGTCTGGATGAAAAAACAAAAAAACAAAAACAAACAAACCCTGAACGCTGTATGCGCTGGATTTTTACCTTAGAATGGCCAACTCTCTGTTATTCCTCTGTCTATTTGATACAGTAGG